AGACAGGATCAGTGTGGGGTGTACAGAAGGAAAGCTGCTGTTTCCGATACATCCTTTGAACCTGATTGGAATGTCTGGGCTTTGGAGGCAAACGTTGGATTCTTCCTGAGGACAAAAGCAGTCTGTGGCTAAGGAAGGAGAGAAGGCTGGTGGAGACCACGCCAGGGCCAGAGACAGGGGTCATTAAAGTCTTTAATTAGAAGCTTAGTGGCAGGACTGAGTGCCTGAGGGCGCAAAAGACTGGGGGCTTAGAGGTATCCTTCATACACTATGGGTGAAGTCTGCCCCTTCCTTGGGTAAGGAGCAGGACGTTTTGACAGGCCTGGTGTTTGCAGCTCGGTAACTCACGCCGCTGGAGCAGCCCTTGGGCATGGCTGGGAGAGCTGCTGCCCTCGGCCCAGCAGACGTGGTCGGGGCGGTCTGTCTGCCCCATGGAAATGCCAGTGGGTGACACGGTGTCTGTGGCCTTCAGCTAATGCTGTTGAAAGGCTTGGGATGCTCTTCTTAGCCAGAAGTGGGAAAAGCCACAAAACCTCTGCTGTCTCGCAGTGGAGGGGCAGCTCCCTGTGGGAACGAGCCAGCGGAGAGCCAGTGTGGATCACCAAGAGGCCCTTTTTGGTTCTGCAGGGTCTCAGGAGCTTCTTTGGAGGAGAGGTGCTTCAAAAAACTCAGTGGGAATGGTCCCTTAGGCTTGGGAAAAACAGATCTGCTTATGCAAAAGCCATAAAGAGCCCTCTACATCATTTCTTCACTTATGTCCCAGATGTATTCCTGACCACCTCAAGCCCTTCCTTCAACTCCCGGGCTAATACTGTCCTTCACCCATCGGACAATCTTGCTCCTTGGGCACAGCAAGTTGGCTGTCGGGTCAGCTGTGCAGGAAGTCTCTGCCCCCTTGTCCTGTCGCACTGAGCCAGGGCTCATGTCTGAAGAGTCCTCGGGCGGTCTTTAACTTTGAGGTCATCCCTTGACAGCATCTGGAGGGCAGCACTAGTAAATCTA